AGATGCATATCTGGAGTCTATTTAATAGATACATCTAAGGCAGAGAGCTGACATCCATCCTCTCAACCCCTGCTCAGTTCATATTCAGAACTTGTTTGTGATCTAAATTGTTTTCTGACTTCTGATTAAATGTTGAAACATGTCAGGCCCCAATTAAACATGACCTAGGGCAGTTTCAGCTTGTGCATCAAACCAATGTGATTTTAACTATAGCAATGGCTATTCTTTGATAAATCAATACAGTTCACTTCCATATACAATGGTTAAAAATTATCAAGAAACAGTACCAGAAAGTATCTGTTATATCTGTGAAGATTAGTGTTTTCCACTGTTTTCATATTTCTCCTACAGGAATTTACTTTTGTCTTCTCTCCTTTTCTCTTTGTCCCTCAAAGAGAAGTTTACAGATATTAAGTGAGATGTTAAATATTTGTAAGGCTAATTATACCATCTGAAACATTAGAAAATAAGTGTTATACTGTTGCCAGCAAAGCAAGAAATCCATCAATCACAATTCCTCCAGTTAATATTTCAAGGTTCAGTCACTTGGACTCTGAGCTCTGAACATGCCTGGGTTCCTGCATCATCAGGGCAAGAAAATCCTCTCATTAATCCGGATTGGAGAAGCAGAATGATGCTGAACAGGAAGGGACAGATGGACATTGGTTGTTTTCTACCCATTGCAGAAAAAATGTAATACATTTTGTGGCTATTTTTGGGTACAAATAAAGAACCAGATGTGAACTTTGATAAAAATAGCCTATGGTGCAAAACTGCTGCATGTCCTGATGCCAGGCAAGGTCTGGTGGGGTCTCTGAGGCAGTCTCATCATTCTGTCTAAGGACTAGGTAGAAAGATATGGAAAGATGGTCTGATAATGGATCAGTCTTAACTAAAATATGAAATTATGGATACCTGGATAGCACATAGGTCTGTTTTACTTTATGACAGGTTTGTTATTTATCTACACTTTCCAACAGTATTTTGTATAACAATACATAAAATGCTCTTTCTGAGGACCAATTCCAAATGTTCTGGCGTACCAATAAAAGGAATTGAACTTACAGTGGAGTTTTGTTTATTCTTTGCAGACCTGTCTTTTCTATCCAGTTTCCCTCCTGCCTTACTGGAAAAGGAAGTCAGATCCCTCCCTTGCAGCAGCACTGGAGTAAACAGTCCCTAAAGCTGCCCCACATCATATGGCACGGATGAGAATATTTTCCTAATCAGGACTGTAAGGTTCTTAGCTCTCCTCATCACATGCCTACAGATCCTGTTTAAAAAAAACCAAAAAAAAAACAACCCAAAACACACACATCAAAAAACCCCACAAACTTACCAAAACATGTAATAATTTTCACTGAAATAAAGAGACACCATTGTTTAAATTTGTGTACCAGCCTGGATATCAACATTTTTAGAGAAAAAAAAAAAAAAAAAGAGGGAGAGATTATTTGAAATTTGATTTTTACTTCTAAGGAGAACAGAGTATGACAGGGGAACGAGGTACTGCAGTTTGCTGGCTGTTCCTAGACTGCCCTGGGGAAACTGGCAGTGTCCCACTGGGCAGCAGTGTGTGGTGTTTATAAAAACAACACAGCAGGAGCCAGAACACAGCGGTGCCCCATGGCCAGGTACCTGCTCCAGTGACACATTCCAGGGCACTGCTGAGTCCTTGCTGCTTTCTGGTGTCACTGGAGTGAGTCAGGGCTCTCCCTCGGCCCCAGGTGTGTTTGGCTGGCACACCCTGAGCAATGTCTCACATCTGCCCAGGGGGAGCAGCCACTGGGGCTCTGACAAGGTCCCAGCCCAGTGTGCTGGGGCTGCAATTTGTGTTACTGGAAAGTAAAGGAGGGGGTGATGATCCCCAGGCACAGCAGTGAGGTGAGAAGCTGAATCTGCCATGATGCAGTGTGTAATTGCCTCTGGAATATTTGAGCAGATTATACAGAGGCATAATGGGTTTCTTCAAATTAAGGAAGGAAGGAAGGATGCCTTTTTTTAAACAGTATCTTTAGAGCCTCAGACTGAGGAGCTGGTGAGCTCTGATGTGACAGATTGAGATCACTGGGAGTCAAACAATCCACGCACTGTACAAAACCTGACAACAGCCAGAATGGCAGCTTTAACAGGGACACTTCTCAGACACTGTGGATGGGCAGTTGTTTTCTTCCTTCTGGAGATTTACAGATACCACAGATGTGCCACTTACCTCAGTACCAGGTCACAGGGATATTTTCTCTCCAGCTGATCCAGAATCAGTGGCCCTTTTCTCATTTCTAAATACAATTCTGAACATAAAGGTATCAGGCACTGAAATAATAAACCAACAATAGTATTTCTTCCCATTTGTTAACTCCTGGAGGATGCTACATTTAATCACAGGAATGAAATGAAATGCCTCCTCTCACATTCTGCTGGACAGGGCTCAAAGCACTCAGAGGAGCCAGGCCTACACCAGAGCTGTGACTGTCAGCAGCTGGATGTGCATCCCACAGGATGTGTGGCACTGCCCAGCAACCATCAGAAGGGCCACAAGAGGAGAGGAAAGCTGCAGTTCTCACAATAAGCAGATACAATTATTACCATGGTCTATATTCAACAGCAGATTTATGCACTTTTTTTTTTTTTTGCAAAGATCTAAAAGAACTAAAAAGAATATAGGAGAAATTAAGCTTGGTTTAAACAAATGTTACCCACATCTACAAAGAGCAAAATTTCTTTAAGAATCAAATATTTGTACCTCATTTCTCTGAAGTATATTCTTCCCTAAAATCCTGATCATGCAAAAAGAGAGGGGGTGTGAGGCATTTCTCCCATGAATGCATTCCAGCTCACGTGCATGCTGTATGCAATACACATCTGCAGAGGGGCCAGATGCCTGCACTGAGGGGCTCTGTGCGTTGTTCCATGGAAGTGAAGTGCACACATTTCAGTTTCCCCTGGCAGTGTGCAGGATTGTGAATGGATGGCAGGTCACACACAGATTACATACCATGCATACTTGTGCTCTCTATGCCTTTCTCCCCTTTCCATCTATTCTTCCCACAGAAATTCAGTTTCAACAGTTTTGATGGAAGTGTCTAATGAATCCCAGATTTTGTAGAATGGGCTTTTCCATCAGTGACCTTTACAAGAGGGACATTGGCAGGAGTAAAATTGTTTTTCTACAATACTTGCCATCCAAAATGCTCACACCATCTCATGAACCAAACAGGATTTGCAATCTCACAGTGAAATCAGTAGAACATTAATTCAGGGCTCCACATTTACCCCTCCTACACTGCTCTTGTAAGAAATAGATAAGCCCTTGACCAAACATAAATGCAATGCCAAAGTTCTCAATGTAATTATTAATTTAATAAAATATATAAATAATCAAGCAAAGTTCAGCTATTTAAAAGCATTTGTGCTTGAAAGAAATTACAGCACAGATGGCACAAAACAAAGAACTCACTCCTGCTCCAATTAAAAGCTAAACTCTGACTCACATAATTGCAAACAGAATCACTCCCAGGTATATTGACAGAAGAAGATCACTTTCAACTCTCATAGATTTTTGAAGGGCTTGGTAGAGCTAAGTCACATATCTGACCTAAGCAGCTGAACTGGAAATGCTGACTGTCTTCTTAACACGAAAACACTCTCCTGCATCTTCGGAAGTGCACACACAATTCAAGTCAGGCATTTTCTAGAAATCAAAAAACCTTTTAGTACTTTCACATCTGAGTGAGGCAGCACTTTCTAACTTGAAAACACAGATAAATCTTTATAATGCATTTTGGTTTTAGTGGACATTTGCATGTTTTTGCTGGAATTAATAAAAAAACTTCTTTCTATTTAAATATATGTCTCAGTCTCTTGTTCCCATGCAGAAAAGGAAACACAGCTGGAGAAGCTAGAATCTTACCATGAGGATTAGAGAAAAAAGTGCCAGGCAGTTTGCAGCAATCATAATTCTTTGCTTATAAAATGCAGAACTAAAGCACGTAGTATTATCTATAACATCATGTCACACTTGCCAGGGTTAGCTACAGGCAAAGGCAGTTCCCAAAGCAGCAGATTGCTGAAGGGGGAAAGGAGGGGTGAGAAATGGCCCTCACTGCCTACTTTGCAATAACAATGCCCTGAGAATCCATGAGCCCCTGCTAACATTACAGAACACATGGGGCTGTGATGGAATTGTTACTCCCAACTGCAGCAAGAGCTCACATTCACCTGCCCCAGCAGCTGCTGGGCTCTTCCCTCCAGCTCTCCCTCCCTCACACTCTATGGCTTCCCCACCTGAGAAAAATTTCAATTCTACTGTCAGGGCTGAGAAGCCAGATGTAATGTTTGCCATAAAGAAATACAAATTACAGTTTGTAGGGCATTTTCTACAGTACAGCCTTGAAAGAAAAAGCTAAACTTTTTGGTCCATGCATTGCCTTTTTTAGTCTAGAAAACATAAGACTTTTGCAATCGCAAAATGGAAAAATGTGCCATGTGTTTGTGGTCTAAAATCATGTCGAACAACATCAAAATGTATGTTCACATGAAGAGGATTTTAATATATCTTTTTCCCCCCGTTGTTTAAAATATTGAGAAGCTAATTATTGAGAAATATTGAGGCATAAGAAGCTAATATTAGACACTTAAATCATATTCTGATAAAACACAGGAAAATATCTATGGTTTATAATTATGAGAAATTCCTTTTTCTAGGTCTTATGGAAAATACTGGATTGACAGTCCTAGTAGTACATAGGCCCAGTGAACAGTTTCCCCTCACTATTCCCACTTCAACCCCACCTGGAGTGAAAGCACTGTCTCTTGATCAACATAAGCAGGTTTCCATGGTCATTTGGTCACATGAAATACTCACAGTATTGCCAATGCTCCCCGTGTCAACAGTTCTGTATTGAATACAAACAGCCATGGGGAAACTACCTTTTGTAGAGGTGCTTAAATTCTAAGAGCCTGTTATCACTTCTTGTCTGAGCAGGATTTAAACCAGCAGCTCTGAGATGAAGCTATTTTATTGCAACAGCAGTAACTTTTAGTGCAGCTTCTACTACACCACACAGAAGGACAGCCCCTCTCCAGGGAATGTACATTTGAAGTAAAAGAAAACCCAACAGAAGGACACAAGAGTGTGGCCAAATTAGCCCATGGTAAAAAGCACTGGGTATCAGACATCAGCCTCCAAATAAGTCCCCTGCTCCCTCTCCTCCCTATAATTCAAGTTCCTACCTAACACACAATCCTGTATTTCAGTGATCCTCTCATGAGACAGATAAGCCATTTCCAGTTTTTAAACTCCAAGAATTTGCAGGGATACTGTGAAACTTGTTAATGGTAAAGCTATGGAAAGGAGATAGTTCTCATAATGATGGCAGATGAGGGTCTTGCTTGTAAGAATTTAACCACTCTGCACTCAGAATTCTCAGAGCCTCTTGATTCTACTGTTCAAGCTGAGCTGACACTCTTTTATCTCTAGCATCTCTGTTGTAAGCTCCAGGACACTGAAAATCAAAGCAAAGAAAAACATTAAGTCTTTTGACAGGCCTTGCTTTGCAATCCTAAAGACTAAGTAGAATACTTAAGCATTTATTTTGCCTAACTGGAGTCTAAACTTCAAGCCCACCAGTGCTCTTATTAAATATTAGCCTGTCAAAATGTTAAAATCCAGTGAAAGTTAATGGCAATACTCTACTAAATAGAATTGTTTGTGGAATAAAATCTTATAAATAGCCTAGAACAGGCAAAACACAGAGTAAAACCAAGAACATGTTCCAAGTAACAATGCAGTAATTGATTGGTGTTACATGGAGCTTTAAATATTACCTTTGTTATGTTTGGCTATACAATAAAGATAAGATAAAGTGTTTTCCCCTTGATTAGGTTCAGAGATAGTCCAGCCAAGGTACAAGACACTTTTTAATACAGAAAAATTATTCAAGAATTGTTATCTTTGTATTCAAAGCAGGAAGAGGATCCCACAGTGCTTCTTCCCTGCTACAGGTGATCAGTGCTTCTGTTATAAAGTTACCTCTAACTGAAAATATAACTTACCTCAAGCCCAACCCCTGAGGGTTCAGAAAGGCAGGTGCAGTGTAAACACAGCACACAGCCAGATGCCAAAGCCTCTCAAGCAGGGAGCACCTGGAAAGCAGAAGGTTTTATTTCTTAGTGTCACGCTAAAGCTCAGAAATAGAAGTCTTATCTACACCACCCCAAAGAGGTGCAGAAAATTGCAACAATTGAATCCTAATTACATCCAGCTCTCCAGAGATGTCACTTCCAATTTAACACACACAGCTCCAAAGAGAAGCATTTCATAGGGAGACAGGAACAATGGACAAGAAGCTCAACTACTCAGGTGATCTTTACCCGGAAAACTCCTCCCTTTGGCAGATCTCCAGAAGGAACAGGTCATATGTGAGAGGGAGCTGGGCTAAAAGCACTCCCCAGGTGCTTCTGGGAAGGCCTGCCCTAATTCCAGCAGGGGCATCATAGCAATTTAGCTCCCCTTACTCCTATTTCAGCACTTCAGATTCCCTCTCTCTCCTCCAACAGCTTATGTCTTGCTGGTGTCACTGCAAACAACAATATTTGCTGCTGATAGGGGTAAACTCTCAACATTGTCTTGACTGTGTGCAAGCTCTCTCACTGTAACACATCCACTGACACTGCCCAGTATAAACTGAAATATGAAGAAGTAAAAGATTAAAACAATGAAGTAGAGGTACTAATAGGCTTTATTTCCAAATAGGATGGGAATGGCAGGAAAAACTATTCAATGGCCCTACAATCTGGATAAAGAAGCTAATCCACCTCAGTACTACCTCCTTTCCCACTTGCAGCTCTGCAAACAACATTCTGCTGCACATAAAGGCTCTGACCTGAAGGTCCAGAGATGGAGAGCCTTGCCTTACATTCAGGCAAAGTATATGGGAAAGAAGGAGAGGGAAAAGCTCACTGTTTCACACTACCTTCCACACAAGCTAGTGCTTAGCACAGTGTACTGCTACTAGACCCCACTGGTGTGTGTCCCTCCTAGGCAGGAGCAGGGGAACCCCACTGGTGTGTGTGTCCCTCCCTAGGCAGGAGCAGGGGGACCCCACTGGTGTGTGTGTCCCT